AACACTTAAAGCCCAGAGCCTCTGGTGCAGTTCCATTCAGGTAATAGTAAACATATGCAAAAGCTGTGGAATAAAGGACTTGTTCTTGGTCACGAGACCTTGGGTAATACTACTAGTAACGCGACTTGCAGAGAATAATTGTTCACAAAGATCGACAGCAAAACTGACTTCAATTGCATTGGGGGGGCGTACGGGGGGGGGGGGGATCTCCTGCTGTTTCTTAAACACCCAAAACTTCCTGCCCTGAAACCCGAAGGTGTAAACCTGTTAGAGACGTGGATGGGTCCGGGCTACAAGCCTCAGACCTCGAAGCTGGGATTTTTATGTCACTTTTCATCCGTGTGCGGGAAGTGCGGGGGTGGGACGGGATGATTTCTATGTATTGGTTTGCACTTGCTACTAGAAAGACCACTGATACGTGACTCTAAGATACGTTTAGGCACCGTCCCCGCAGGGCACCGGAGGCCTAGGTCCTGTTTCCACAAAGGGCGGTTCATCTGGGTCGCTACCCGCCGCTGTGGACTCGGCTCCTCCCGGAGTCGGCGCGGCGGGGAGCGGGCGCCGCAGGGCCTGGGCGCGCAGCCCCGCTCTCCCGAGGAGGCAGCTCAGGGCCAGGGCGCCAAGGAGGCGCCCGCCAGCCGCTTCCCCCCGCCCCACCCCCCAACCCGCTCCCCGCGACCTCCCTAGGATGAGCGGACCCCGCGGCTCTCGGGCTCCGCACCGCACTTACTTAGACCTGCTCGCGGGCTGCGCAGTCGGCCGCGGACACGCAACCAGATGCCGCGGAGCAGCGTCCCCCCGCGCCGCTTCCGTCGCTCCACATCGTCCTCCTCCCGGCGAAGGGCCGCCGCCGTCGCCTCAGTCTAGCAGCCGGAGGTCCTGCGGCGCCCTCTCGACTCCTCCACTTCCGGCCCACACGCGGTGTCGCCAGCAAATACTCCCGGCGGCTTCCACATCACCAGCTCTCCGCCTTGCTCCGTCTCTGCCAATAGTGGGAAATGCGCATGCGTACAAATCGAGGCCCGGGGCGTCCCTGGACGGTGGCCGAGACGGACAAGATACATCGGCGCCTGGCCGCAGGCATTTTCGAGTTTCCCCTGGGATTGTCTGCGCTGCAGAGGGCTGTCTCGCGACCTCCCCGCCCCAACCCGAAGACTCTGGGGTGAGAGCTCGGAACCCACCAGCTCTCTCTGCTGAAAGCACGTTTTCAGAAGAAAGTGTCTGGCATAGAGGGTTGTTAGGAGTATAGGAGTGAGTCCCTGTGCTTTAAAGCGCTTCCATAACTATTTTTCTCTTTTTGTTTTCTCCCGACCCAGCCCTCTCCTACTTCTGTCCGAGTGGACCATCGGGCAGATAGAGATTTTTGTGAGGCATGAACCTTGCGAGAATTAGGGACCCTTTTAAAGAAAAAGAATGCAACATTATCTTATTTTTGCAAATTACTGAAGTACATGACCAAGGGAACATTGCTAGGACCACTCTCCGGGTCTTGGAAGTGGCCCCGCAATTGTGCCCCTGCAACTAGAGCTTTATTAGCTTCACCGTCAACCCCCCTAGACACGTAATTGTACTGGATTGTTTATTTACAGATGCCTGTCCCCTGTCACTTGGCCATTCCCTATTCTGTGTACACTGTTTTATATTTACAGAATTTGTTAATTCTGCTACCAGATCAAGAGCTCCAGGTCAAAAAAAAAAAAGCTTGATGAACGTGTGGACAAAAAGGGGCCACATGCTAACCTCACTAATTTAGGGAAGGCCTGTGCAGCAGTCTTGCAAGCTCAAAGACCTAAAGTAACAACAAAGGATGGTCTGATATTAAAACTTTTTAAATGAAAAAGCTGTCTATGGTGGGTCGTCATGTCCTACACCAGTATTTTCCCTGACAAAGATCAACTTTGATCTTAAACGAGCCTATTGTGTGTGTGGGTTTTTTTTTTGCATCTATGATAACATAACTTTGGAATGTCAGGGTAACTTACAACTTCTTTTTCCCTGACCTCTCAGGGCACCAGGACTACAAATTCCCTCATTGTTACTGTTATCGTGTTAATTGTTGACTGCTAACTATGCTGTAACCACTTATATAAAAGAAGCATGTGTATATCATTTTACTTTTTACCCAAACTCAGGTTTTCCCTGCTTTGCTTTCTCCCACCTCCCTAATCCATCACCAATGAATTTCATGTAACCTACTTACATCTCCTCCTTCGATGGTAATTTATAAAAATAGGTGAAAAACTGCCATTTTCCAGAGCGTTATCTCAATATGTTTAGATTCTGCTTCCCGGCAATTGTCCAGTTTGGCTCAAATAAACTCACAAAAATTCTTTACAGGTTTGAATGTTTCTTTTTTTTTTTTTTTAATTGTCTAAAGTTTTACCTATGTCTCCTTTTTCCCCAGTTGACCCCTCCCTCCCAAATGTTTCTTATGTTAACATTAACTTCCTTTTGTTGAACACCAAAGTGCCAGGCACTAAGGTAGACTGCTTACATAAATAAACTAATAATCACAGCAAAGCTATAAGATGCTTAATGAAAAAGCCTTGATTCTCTTTGAACCAACCATAAGAAAGTCTAAAATAATAAAATGTCAGTAAAAATCAACAGCTACTGAAACCTAAGGACTGGGTTTGTTTTCATTTCTCAATCCTGTATACCTAGGGCATTTACTATGTCATAGTAGGTGCTCAATAAAGGTTTGATAATAACTTTATTTTGAATCCTTGAACAGATACTAGAAGAGTCCATAGTTGATTTCTGGGCAGCTGTTTATATATGTTTTATGAGTTATATATCATGTGTCATTATGAATTATGTATTATTTCTGTATTAAGAGACAAGAATGTTACAAGAAAGGGGACCTGGCCCTTAGCAGAGCTGCTTAGGGCTGGCCAGTAGTGTGTGGGTTCTTGACTCCATGTAGGGAAAATTGTACAACATGAGTACAGGTGAATTTTAGAGGACGCTTATTAAAGCTGGGAACAGTGAACCAAGGAAGGGCCTAGGACAGGGTGGGCAACATTTTTGTGAGTGCGTGCCAAAACCAGCAAAATCTCTGACTCAAAATTCTTCTGCGTGCCAACCCTAATTTTTTGAGAACATGTTACGCCTACTTGATATCTCTTAAGATGTACGTATGTGAAGAAGCTTGAAGAAATAATAAAATTCATTCGAGCGACAAAAACACAGTATATGATGATGAAAAATACATTTATTTTTTAATGTACACATGTACACTGATAGTCCGACAGAAAACTTTATGACTCTGTTTGATATTATCAGTGGGACTTTTGCTGCTGCATCACTGATGACAGAGATTTTACATCAGGTTTATATTTCGTGACCTTCAGAGATATGCATGAGCTACTACTTTCATCCATCAGGCTACTCCTATTATGAAACTTAACAAAATTCATCACTGAGAACAAAGATTCACAAGTGTATGTGGATGAAAACATGGAGAGTAACACTGTTGCAAAGTTTTTTAAACAGAAAAAATTTTCTGGAATGGCATTCCAAGTCCTCAATAGTTTGTTTTCGACACTATTGAAATTGCTCTTCCCCTCTCTCATCAATCCATGTCTATGGTCTTTAAGATAACTTGTTATGTAAAATTATTTAACTATCTAAGATGCACCTACACTGAATTTATCTGAAAAATAAAAAAGTCGATATTAAGAAAAAAACTGTAAATGGAAGATTATAAGAGAAGGTTTCGCGTGCCGGCAAGTTACTGGCGTGCCAGGTTTGGAACGCGTGCCAGGGGTTGCCCACCCCTGGCCTAGGATAACAGAGGAAGGACTACACTAGGACCTAGTCACTAGGGGAAGAAATGAGCCTTGGCAGCGCTGCTTCGGATCACTAAGAAGTCAGAGAAAAGGGGGCCTTGGGGACAGGATATTTGCCCAGGATGAACTGCCACTGCCCATTGCTGCCCTGGCTGAAACCCTCTGGGGTCCCTTAGAATTTAGGAGATGCGTGCCTGTGGGGGAAGAACAGAGGAGGGGTGCTTCCGGGAGGGAGAGCGCTGCTAGGACCTTCGGTTTGAGGAATTTAAAGGCTTGGAGTTTAGGGGACGATTCAACAGAATATTCATTAGTTTTATGTTGATGTGCCCAAATGAGATTTATTCCCTTCATATCCCCTTGGATATGGCATATGACACTAATTGGATTTCTGCTATTTCCCTGTGTAGAGTGATTTAAACTATTTATCCTCTGGTTGGGGAGGCGAAGGGCAAACCATTTACTCTTAAATGTGCCTGGTTTAGGGAAGATAGGCTTTACTAAATGGCTGCATACTGCTTGTTTGACTCTGTCTCAGTTTCCCTACTCTGCTTGACCTGGCTTACTAGCCTGTCTCAAGAACTCACATGGAAGTTGTGTCATCATGAGAAACAAATAGGACAGACAGCCTTAGACAATATTGCAAAAGCCAATTTTCCCACTTAAGTAACAGCAGAGGGATTGGGATATCCTCTTCAACCCATGAGCCAACCAGCCAGATGAGTACTGGTGCCACTGCCACTGCTGGCAAACAGGAACAGAACCGAGAGCTGTCACTTTCCGCCAGGCAGGCCAAGCAGAGAAAGGACTTCATGGTCGGAGCCAATGCACAAAGGGTTCTTGGGTCTCCCACAGCTACGAAAACAACTCTCATGGGTCAACCTCTTGCAAAAAGCACCCGCTGCGCTGGGAGGCTATTGGAAGCTGTGTTTGCAGTCACACTGCTACCACGGATCCCGGGTTCTCCGCAGCCTTGCAGGGTGGGTGCTATCCCCAGGACCCTTTCCCAAGTCCCCCGCCGGCTTCCAACATTCCTATGACGTCATGGCTTTCCCTAGCCTACAAGTGCGACCGCGCATGCGCGCAGCATGCTGCGGGTGGCGACTGAGCCTGCGCGGGAGCATCAGGCGAGCCGGCTTCGCAGTTGCGGCGTCAGGTTTGGCGGCGGTGCCAGAGGCTTCGCGTCAGAGAGGAGGAGTTTTGTGGGGCCAGGGAGAGAGCCAGCGGTGGAGTCTGGGCCGGCGGAGGCTGCGCCAGAGTGACGAAAGCAGGAGAGGGCCATCTTGCGTCCAGCAAAGGTTACACATTCATTCTTCTTCTTTCTGGGCAAAAAGTTTTCCAGTTCAGCCGCCCCCTGGATGCGTAGGGGAGAAGTGCGGACCACAGGGCTGACCGCGCCGCTTCGGCAGCGGGTCTTTGGGCTCTTGAACGAGACCCCACCCCTGGGACGTGCGGCCGGGGGACTGGAAGTGCCCCCACGTTTGCCCCTCACGAACCGCGCTGGCGGCTTGAATCGCATGCATTCTGATTCCGAGGACACCCCTCCCCCGAATGGGGACCCTCGGGTTCCGAGAGAAACGGGTGTGTCCAGGGCCGGGATTTCATCCACGATCCATGGGAGGATTTGTTGGGGCAGAGGAGTGGTGTGGAGCGCCGCAGGGATCTTGCAGGCGTGTGTCGGTGGAGATGGAAGGAGAAACCATAGGCTTGGAGGGAATTACCTTGTTTCTCTTCTTACCCTCGGACTTTCATTAACTTACTCGCTCCCGCAGGCTTCTGGCTTTTTCTTCCCACTGATTTCTTTCCGCTGGGATGCTCCCCACGTGTCACCAAGTGCCGTGGGAACCCTTGGTCTCATAGGGAAACAGCCCCGCTTGTCCAGGATTGCAGAAGGAACCTGAATGGTACCACTTTCTCTCCAATAACATAGCATTGAGTCATCCCCCATAGCCGCAAGCTTGCTAGTGTTTTGTTGTGTCTCCTAGACAATATAGGCAGCAACTGGATGGATGAGTCATTGTGTACTAATTACTTTATATTCATTCTCTTGAAGTCTTTGCTTATTGTCGACAAGTGTTCCCCTTCTTATCTGCTTAGTATTTTTAATACTTGTGTTTTAAATACTGCTTGGGTCGGGGATTTACCAAATGCTAGGTACTGTGTTAAGCACCTTAAGTGAATTATCTGATATCATCATCTTAATTTCTGCAGTTATTAACCCCATTTTACACTTCAGGAAACTGAATCTTAGAGAAACTAAGTAGTTGCCCCATATCACACAGCCATTAAATGTTGGAGTCCAAGGTTGAATTCATTTATTGGACTCCAGAGCCTGAGCCCTAACCACAAACCTGGTTTTATTTTATTTTTTTCAAAAATTGAAAACGTAAGCTAAAATAACCCCAGAATCTGGAAAATAAAATTAGAGCACATGTAAAAAGCAGTGGAAATCCTAACATATCAACATACAGTTTAAATGAGTAAAAATATTTTTCTATTCATTTTATACTAATTTTGGAATTCTTGTTATCTATATAAGCAGTCTTACATGTGTGTGTGTCTTCATCTATAACTAGATTTCAAGATTAGTATAAAATAATTTGAGTCTTTTCCTGGGACTTGTTGAGGGAAACTGACTTTAAGACCATAGAGAATCAACAGACCCATTGAAAACTGTATACCAATACTTGAACATTTAAAGAAGTATTTTTCACATACTTAATCTTAACATACATTATCTAAATTATAAAAATAACATTATGTACCAAAATATTCTGGCTTGAGGGAGCATGTTTTGAGAGGTAGGACAGTTAACATAACCAGGTGGTGCATTCAGTTATGCAAATGAGACACCATGAGGGGAAGCAGTTAGTATATTCAAAGATAAAAGAATGTAGTCTCATGGGTTTATCTCTTGATCTAACTACCTCAGTGGAAGTGGGATTTTCTTTGTCAGGAATAGACTGGAAAATGTGTGTGTGTCTTTCCCTAGAGGCCAATAAATGGCTGTTGTGAACCTTTCCTAGTGCAGTCATAGCTGTTGAATATTTTTTTAATATAGTTTATTGATTTTTTACAGAGAGGAAGGGTGAGGGATAGAGAGTTAGAAACATCGATGAGAGAGAAACATCGATCAGCTGCCTCCTGCACACTCCCCACTGGGGATGTAACCAAGGTACATGCGCTTGACTGGAATGGAACCTGGGACCCTTCAGTCCGCAGGCCAATGCTCTATCCACTGGGCCAAACCGGTTAGGGCAGCTGTTAAATATTTTTAACCTGAGTGCCTCCAGCCATGTGCCTCTCTCTCTCTCTCTCTCTCTCTCTCTCTCTCTCTCTCTCTCTCTTTCTCTCCTGGCATTCTCCAGTATGGTTTCCCAGGAACTTAACTGTAGGTATTTAGTAATTCATTAAACAAACAGACCTATGTCTTGCCAGTCGCTAGTGGCACAAATTGTAACATGATTTCTGATCTCTGGAGACAGTTTAGTAAGTGTGGTACAGCAGTTAGCCATTCATTTCTTGTGCTGGATAACGTAGCCTTGTACTCATAGTGTATTTGATGGTTTTTGCTTGTAGGAGTGGGGGATTTTGTGGTCTCTGTACTATAGCAGTTCATCCCATCCCCTGTCTGACACTGCTCTGGGCTCTCTGGGCTATCTGGAATGTGCCAGCAGGTGTCTGAAACCACTAGATAATAGCAGAAGTCTGTATTTCTGGAGCACACATTGTTACTTAAAGTCTCTTTGAAAAGTAAGTGTTATATAGTTTAAACCAGGGGTCCTCAAACTTTTTAAACAGGGGGCCAGTTCACTGTCCCTCAGACTGTTGGAGGGCCAGACTATAGTTAAAAAAAAAAAACTATGAACAAATTCCTATGCACACTGCACATATCTTATTTTGAAGTAAAAAAACAAAACGGGAACAAATACAATATTTGTATTTGCATGTGGCCCGCGGGCCGTAGTTTGAGGACCCCTGGTTTAAACCATAGATTCTGATACCTTATAGATTCTAATAGAACTTGCATGGATATTAAAAATGTGAAAAATAATTTCACACTTGTCATGACTGCTTTAGGAAATATTCTAGACCTTAGCACAACAAGGTACCTGTTATTTCCTTTCTAACTTTAGAAGCTACTTCAGTGAAAAGCTCTGTGTCATGACACACTGTTGTTTTTATTTTTGTTAAAGCATTTAGCATTTTATAATTAGTTCCCATTTGTCCCTTTTTCTTTACAGGGTGTATGCTCGCCTAAGGCAATTCTATACTGTATTTGCCCATAGCACTGTGCCTTGTTCATATGCAGTCCACACTGCACATATCTTATTTTGAAGTAAAAAAACAAAACGGGAACAAATACAATATTTGTATTTGCATGTGGCCCGCGGGCCGTAGTTTGAGGACCCCTGGTTTAAACCATAGATTCTGATACCTTATAGATTCTAATAGAACTTGCATGGATATTAAAAATGTGAAAAATAATTTCACACTTGTCATGACTGCTTTAGGAAATATTCTAGACCTTAGCACAACAAGGTACCTGTTATTTCCTTTCTAACTTTAGAAGCTACTTCAGTGAAAAGCTCTGTGTCATGACACACTGTTGTTTTTATTTTTGTTAAAGCATTTAGCATTTTATAATTAGTTCCCATTTGTCCCTTTTTCTTTACAGGGTGTATGCTCGCCTAAGGCAATTCTATACTGTATTTGCCCATAGCACTGTGCCTTGTTCATATGCAGTCAGTGAATTGGTGGGTGGGTGGGTGGGTCGGTCTAACTGGCAGGGAATATAAACAAAAAAAGTGTACTAATGAAATCAAATTTATAAAACTGTAAGTAACCATGTTAAAATATAGAACTAAAAGAGACAGGTCAAGTGAGGATTTCATGGAGAGGGTATTTTGAGTTAGGTTTTGAATTTCAGAGTGATTAGGCATAGCTAGCAGTGAAGGAGTGGAAGTAAACAGCCATAGGCTTTGTCTGAAAGAAGATACCTTTCCTTCGTCCGTCCTTCCTTCCTTCCTTCCTTCCTTCCTTCCTTCCTTCCTTTTTTCTTTCTTGCTGCTTCTTCTTTTTTTTTTTTTTTGAAAAAAAACTTCCTACAAAGCCAAATTTCAATTCAGTGAGCTAATGATTATTTGAAAACATCTGTTTTAAGAAGTTTGTTTCTGGTACTGTGTCTGACAGAGAGAGAGAGATAAGAAGTTCAGAAATATAGTGAATTGAGCCTTATTTGTTACTATCATTATTAGCAATCATCTTTTGCATTATGTGCTAAACAAGGAATGGAATACTTTCAATAGAAGCTGTAATTTAGGGAGTAGGAAAATTAAAATAATTAAATTTAGTATTGTAAATTACAGACAATGGGACTACTGATACTTTTGATAATAAATACTAAATAGAATTAAGATAAAATAGTTGGTTGTTATTAAATGTAGAGATTGAAAAGACATTATTTGCAGCATTTATAGCATTGATCCATTTTCACTTGGCAAACATTATGAACCAGGTGTTCTCTTTAAAGACTTTACATTAAATATTTAGTTGAATTTTATCTTTTACTTAAAGTTACTCTCTTTCTGTTTTATTAGTTGAACCAGAGGATTCACCCATCGCTTCTATGGCTGCCTCACAAACTTCACAAACTGTTGCATCTCACGTTCCTTTTGCAGATTTATGTTCAACTTTAGAACGAATACAGAGAAGTAAAGGACGTGCAGATAAAATCAGACACTTCAGGGAATTTTTAGATTCTTGGAGAAAATTTCATGATGCCCTTCATAAGAACCAGAAAGATGTCACAGACTCTTTTTATCCTGCAATGAGACTTATTCTTCCTCAGCTAGAAAGAGAGAGAATGGCCTATGGAATCAAAGAAACAATGCTTGCTAAGCTTTATATTGAATTGCTCAATTTACCTAAAGATGGAAAAGATGCTCTTAAACTTTTAAATTACAGGACACCTACTGGAACTCGCGGAGATGCCGGAGACTTTGCCATGATTGCATACTTTGTATTGAAACCAAGATGTTTACAGAAAGGAAGTCTAACCATCCAGCAAGTAAATGACATTTTGGATTCAATTGCCACCAATAATTCTGCCAAAAGAAAGGACCTAGTAAAGAAGAGTCTTCTTCAGCTAATAACTCAAAGTTCAGCACTTGAACAAAAGTGGCTAATACGAATGATTGTGAAGGACTTAAAGCTAGGTTTTAGTCAGCAAACTGTATTTTCTCTTTTTCATAATGATGCTGCTGAGTTGCATAATGTCACCACAGATCTGGAAAAAGTCTGTAGGCAACTGCATGACCCTTCAGTAGGGCTCAGTGATATCTCCATCACTTTATTCTCTCCCTTTAAACCAATGCTCGCTGCAATAGCAGATATTGGGCGAATTGAGAAGGACATGAAAAACCAGAGTTTCTATATTGAAACCAAGCTAGATGGCGAGCGTATGCAAATGCACAAAGATGGGGATGTATATGCATATTTCTCCCGAAATGGCTATAAATATACAGAACAGTTTGGTGCTTCTCCACAAGAAGGTTCTCTTACACCATTCATTCATAATGCATTCAGAACAGATATACAGATTTGTATCCTTGATGGTGAGATGATGGCCTACAATCCTAATACACAGACTTTTATGCAAAAGGGGAATAAGTTTGATATTAAAAGAATGGTAGAAGATTCTGATCTGCAAACTTGTTATTGTGTTTTTGATGTATTAATGGTCAATAATAAAAAGCTAGGACATGAAACCCTGAGAAAGAGATATGAAATTCTTAGTAGTATTTTTACACCAGTACCAGGCAGAATAGAAATAGTGGAAAAAACACAAGCTCATACTAATAAAGAAGTAATTGATGCTCTGAATGAAGCAATAGATAAAAGAGAGGAGGGAATCATGATAAAACATCCTCTATCCATTTATAAGCCAGACAAAAGAGGTGAAGGATGGTTAAAAATTAAACCAGAGTATGTAAATGGCCTCATGGATGAACTGGACATCATCATCGTTGGGGGCTATTGGGGTAAAGGTTCACGGGGTGGATTGATGTCTCATTTTTTGTGTGCTGTCGCAGAGAAGCACGCTTCTGGTGAAAAACCCTCAGTGTTTCATACTCTCTGTCGTATTGGCTCAGGTTACACCATGAAAGAACTGTATGATCTGGGTTTGAAACTGGCCAAGCATTGGAAGCCTTTTCATAAAAAAGCTCCACCAAGTAGCATTTTATTTGGAACAGAGAAGCCAGAAGTGTACATTGAGCCTTGTAATTCTGTCATCGTTCAGATTAAAGCATCGGAGATTGTTCCCAGTGACATGTATAAAACTGGCTGCACTTTGCGATTTCCACGAATTGAAAAGATCAGAGAAGACAAAGAGTGGCATGAGTGCATGACTCTGGATGACTTAGAACAACTTCGAGGGAAAGCATCTGGAAAGCTTGCGTCTAAACACCTTTATGTCGGTGGTGATGATGAACCCCAAGTAAAAAAGCGGAAAGCTCCTCCCAAAATTAAGAAAGTTATTGGGATTATTGAGCACTTAAAAGCACCTAACCTTTCTAACGTAAACAAAGTTTCCAATATATTTGAAGATGTGGAGTTTTGTGTTATGAGTGGAATAAGTGGCCATCCAAAGCCTGACCTGGAGAACAGAATTGCAGAATTTGGTGGTTATATAGTACAAAACCCAGGCCCAGACACGTACTGTGTTATTGCAGGGTCTGAGAACATAAGAGTGAAAAATATAATTTCTTCAAATAAACATGATGTTGTCAAGCCTGAGTGGCTGTTAGAATGTTTTAAGACCAAAAGCTGTGTGCCATGGCAGCCTCACTTTATGATTCATATGTGCCCATCAACAAAACAACATTTTGCCCGTGAATATGATTGTTATGGTGATAGTTATTTTGTTGATACAGATTTGAACCAACTGAAGGAAGTATTCTCAGGAATTAAAGATTCTAGTGAACAGACTCCTAAAGAAATGGCCTCTGTGATTGCTGATTTAGAGTATCGATATTCCTGGGACTGCTCTCCCCTGAATATGTTTCGAAATCACACCATTTATTTGGACTTGTATACTGTCATTAATGACTTGAATACCAAAATCGAGGGAACAAGATTAGCTATTACAGCCTTAGAGCTTCGATTTCATGGAGCAGAAGTAGTTTCTTGTTTAGCTAAGGGAGTGTCTCATGTAATCATTGGGGAGGATCATAGTCGTGTCGCAGATTTTAAAACTTTTCGAAGAACTCTTAAGAGAAAGTTTAAAATTCTGCAAGAAGGTTGGATAATTGATTCAATAGACAAATGTGAGTTACAGGATGAAAATCAATATTTGGTTTAAAGCTTGTTTTTCTAGTGAGGAAATCATCTGATTTGGCCAACCCCTAACAGGTGATAATGATAAAATATTAAACTAAATTTTATTTTTATCTCAATATCTATGCTTGAATAATATTATTAGATATAGGAAAACAATAATTTTCACTTTTGAAGTAGACAAGACAGTGGACGGAAGCCAAGAAAGAAGAAATTATTTTAGCAATGTAGTAGTTGATGGGAAAAGTTTTAAAAAAAGATTTTTATGTAATATCCCTATAACGATCTAGAAGTTTGACTCAGATATTAATAAAATACATGTAGAGAGTTTTAGAGTCAGAATTTTAACCTAAACAGGATTTTCTGAAGTCATAGTAGTTTTTATCTAATAAAAGCATTATAAGGAAAAAGCAGAATTGTAACAATTGGACTTGTAAAAATAAGTCTTTTAAACTAAATCCTGAATTTTGAAAAATATCAAATGTTGTAAACAAGTTTATTTTTTAAGGTTAAGGTCAAGCTCATGAATAAGACCTTGCTAGTGATATCATTAGCTAAATTAGGGGAAGTGGAATGACAATGTTCTAAAAACTTAATTAGATCAATATAAATGATAGTCACAGAGTGATTTTTTTTAGATATAGTTCATCTCCAAATGGCATGTGTGTTGTAGCTTTCACTACAGAGAAATAAATTGCCTTGACTTTTAATAATACTTACTATCCTTAGGTTAGTTAAAGTCAGTGTGCATTGTATATATTGTGTCTGGATTTCTATGCCAGATTGTGGAATATAGCTTACATATTGTGAAAAATATACTTTCATGACACTATTGAAATACTTATTACTTGGTACCTGAGAAACAGTGTGTAGGTTATTTATAAATAATTAGAAATGTCACCCAAACAGTGGAACAAGTGTATGTAATTTTATTACATTTCTTAATTTAAATAAAATATTTATATACTATTGAAATGATTTCTTATGGTATATTTACTTTAAAGTAATAATAGTTATTTCAATCAGATGTAAATATTGATTAATTCAAGTCAGGTTCCTATTTAAGGTCATTTGTATTTTATATTCCTTAATGAGTTTTATTTAAAAACTTGAGGCCCGGTGCACGAAATTTGTGCACTGGGGCGGGGGGGGGGGGGGGGGTCCTCAGCCCAGCTTGCACCCTCTCCAATCTGGGACCCCTCGAGGGATT